CGGATCCGGCCCGCAGATGGTCCAGAAATCGCCTCATGGTTCTGATTCATATAGTTTGGGCTGGACCATTTTTTCCTCTCTTCCTGACAGCGGCACCCCTCCCTCCCTTCTTCTGGCTTCTCCCCCACCTTCGGAGGAAGGGGGCTAGCCTATGATTGGTGCCAGCAGCATTGTTTCCCTCTGATTGGTTGCAGAGTTCTCCCTCCCTCCTCCTAGAGCCTAGGGCCTGGGCTTTGTTTGTGCCAGCGTGATTACTCGATGGCTGCCATTTAAGGCAGCCCCTCTCCGGCCCTCAACTGGCTCACTGCTCCTGCTGCTGCAGCGAGTGGTTCCGTTCTGAGACACCCTCCCAGGGTTCTGAGGTGCATGAAGCCTTGTTTCCCTGTTTTTAACTCTGCTACCGAAAGCCTCTCCCCCTCGCTGCAGAAGGATACGTGTTCTCCGCTTTCCCATCTTGGAGGGGGAGACGCTTTTGGTAATGGAGTTAAAAACAGGGAAACAAGGCTTTGCATACCCCAGAACCCTGGGAGGGTGTCTCAGAACGGAACAGATATGCTGCAGTGCAGAACTGGGACCTCTGGAACTTTATAATTGTTTTTTGGTGCAATCTTTGGATCGTGTAGTAATGAGAGATTGTGTATGCGCACGCATGCTCCGTCCTGCTGCAAGGTTTGAGGATAGCGATCCGGCCCTCAACTTTAAAAGGTTGCTGAGCCCTGTCTCTGGGTGTGCAAAAAAGAATTTGGAAGTGTTTGTTTTCATTCTTGGAGGCCATGCTATTTGACAACCCTCTCTTTTTCAAGAGCTAACTTCAGGGCTATGAGAGGCTAAGGAAAATCCTTTTTTTTTAATTAAAAAACCCCTTCAAAATGTGACAAATGTTTGTGGGGCCTCCACCTGTTGTTGCTGCTGCTGCTGAGGGGGCCCTGGATCTCACCCCCAAATGATGGTAGCAGGATGGGAGAAGTCAAGTGCCCAGAATCAAAAAGGAAAAGTATTTTCTGCATCTTTCTTGAATGAAATGGGTATGTCTGGAACCTCAGACAAAGCTCATGTTGACAGCATAGAAGCTGTTGTTCAGTAACCAAGTAATGTCATATTTATCACTGCTCATGAAAAGTCTACCCATCAGAGAAACAAGGTGATATTTCATACAATATAAATGACCGGCAGAATCCAAGACCAGGGAGAAGAGTCGGTGGAAGAAGATTGGAAGAAATTTAAAGATTACTTACAGAAATATTGTAAAATCATTGAGTGTTAAAATGATGTTGGATGAAACTTATGTGGTTTTTAGCTATAACGCTATAAGGAGTATGAAAAAAACGGGGTATTAACAGTCAAAAGTTAATGTTACACATTATTTCAAGATTAAAGATTAGGATAAACAAAGAGGGGAAGGATTTCCTGAACTAACAAATTGAACTGGAATACAAAAAGGTAAGTGTGAGGACGTCCGGGAAATAAGCAAATGAAAGAAAGTGATGGAAAGATGGAATTGTTCTCTATCTATTTTTATTTTGTATTTTTCTTTTTTCATTTTGCAAAATTCTAATAAATATCTGTTAAAAAAAAGATGATAATGATGTCCTAAATAAACAATCGGATATATTTGCCTTCTGGAGGGTGGGGAAAGGATGCGGATGGAATCTGTATTATATCTGAAGGAGAGAAGGCCGGGGGGGGGGAGGAGCTCAGTGCACCCAGAAGACACCAGTTGTTGGTTATAGTTGCATCTATACAAAGTGCATAGCCTTTGCCCCTCCATAAAGAAATGGGAAGCAGACAAGAGCTGGAATAGCTGACCAGAAGGAAATGTAAGCTGGGAACTTCATGTTGCTCCCCAGCTCCCTGACCCCAAGAAAAGACTCCTCCAGGGAGGCAGGTGAGCATCACAGGCTAAACCCCCCATTATGCTCTACAGTAGCTAATCGCTCAGACAGGGCTATTTTCATTCAGTTCTTTGTGTTTGTGTGTGGTTGGTGGTGGTTTTACCTTCCCTTCTTTCCTTGCAATCATGACAAAAATGAAACCTCCACGGCAATGCTTTCAGCACCAGAAGAGGAGCTCCCCTTGGTGTCAAGGAAGGGGTCCAAGGGAGCATCTAGAGCCTACCATCCTTTTGTCCCTGGCCCATTCCCCTCCTCTCTCTGCCATCCCAGGGCCACTCTTGACTCCCCAGCAGGAGACTAGGTCTGTCTGTGATGATGAGATGTCCTGGCTGGTGGAAGGACCACTTCCTGTTTCCTGCAGCTCCATCCTGCCTTCTCATGCAAGGTGGAGTCATGAAGCAGGTGAAGGCTGAGCACACCTAAGGGTGACCCCGGGGGGGGGGTTCTGCTTAACCTTTCCCCATCTGCTCCTTATCTGGATCCAAATCCCCGCACCAGAAGGAGCAGTGTGAGGGCGCAATCAATGTTATGCAGCTGAGTTGAAAGGCATTGCTTCATGACCCGAAGAGCCCCTTCTCAAAAAACAAGCATTCAGAGAATTTAAACTACAGAGAGAGAGAGAGAGAGAGAGAGAGAGAGAGAGAGAGAAACACACACACACACACACACACACACACACACACGTTTAGAACAGATAATTACCCCCCCCCCAAAAGAGGCAGTCTGGTGCCACATTGTGTAGGGGTCAGTGTAACACGCTCTACATGGGGCTGCCTTTGAAAAGTGCTCAGAAAGTTCAACTGGCTCAAAGAGCTGCAGATACATTGCTGACCAGGGCTGGCTCTAGGCAGCATAGGACTTCCTTATTAGTGAGAACTGTGGTTCTCAAGGAAGAGGCAGCCCAGGAATACAAGGTAGGAATTCACCTTGACACTTGCTAACAAAATCCTTTTTGTGAGGGTGTGTCTGCTAATCCTTAACCTAGGATGAGCACTAAGAATTGGGCCTCATTTCTCTGTTATTTAAAATAAAATAAAATGCTTGTTCTGCTTCTAAAGAAACCCTTTAGAATGCATTTTTCTTCTTTTTTCATATTAAAAAATCACTATTTTTAACAGCTGTGCAAATGTGCTCCTGTACAATGCAATGTCAGAATAACAAAAGAATGAAATATCTTATGAGAGCCTTGTTTTTTAAATATACAGCTAAAAAAACAAAAAGCTCCTACAACACTTACGAGATACAAAACTAATAGCAGGGCCCCCAGGCACTACAAGGCAACCTGATATTCACGCCCCCCCCATCCCAACTCTGAGCTTTTGGTTTCTCTTTAGACACTCATTTGTGGTCACCTGGAGCATTTGAGAAAAAGAGAGAGAACATTGTGGCATATGAAGCAAACATAGAAGAAGAAAGAGTGGAACCTTTTAGGCAAGAGGTTCCACTCTGACAAAAGCATCAGAGGAGGCTGGTATCTTTCCTAATAACTCATCGCTGGAAACAGAAGCTGCAGAGCTCTAACAGAAGGAAGCTTAAACTTGAGAAGTCAATGGGTGCTTGTTGGAGATGGTTGGAGAAGCAGCAGCAGTTGCAAATAAGTTATGCAATGATGAAAAAGCTTAGGATCTCCCTCTGGGACCAGAGAGAGGACAGTTCACAGGATTACATAAAGAACTGAACATTGTTTGCAATCTGCTACTTTATCATGTACATATTATTGTAAGACTGCTTAAGACTGTTGTGCAGTAAAGGTTCAATTTTTTTTTCTTGTGATGAAGAGAACTCATTTCCCACACAAGGTCCAGATCAGGAATTCCATGGAACAACTTGAACAACAGGTACCTGAAGAACCAAACCACGATGTAGCCGTGCTCTTTCCATCCCTTTCCAAGAATTGCAACAATCTGTTCCCCCAAATGGTTCTCCCTTCACTGCAGTCATCTGAAGGCACCATCTATGCCCTGTTGGCCCCGATCCTTCTCCGTATGAAGGTTCCCTCCTCTGCTGAATGGAGGCAGCAAAGGAAAAAGCAGGGAAAGACAGACCCTCCAAGTGTCACTATCTTCCAGGGATGTCGCTGATTTACAGAAGCTGTCGTCAGTTTCTGACTTGATGCCAGAGGTTATGGGGCTATCCAACCCCCAAGTTGTCTGAATATAATCCTGTATAGGAAATTTTTAAAATGTTTTCTTATGTTTTTATATATGTTGGTAGCTGCCTGGAGTGGCTGGGGCAACCTAATAAGATGTGTGGGGTATAAATAGTAAAATTATCATTATGGAACAGGACACCCCTATTTTCATCAGAGAGATGTTGGAGGGTATGGAAAGATAACAGAGCCCAGCCCTGGCATCTGTTGCTGGAGCTAAGTGATCACATGACCTAGGCCAGCAGAGCTGGGAACTGGACTGCCTCCTCCAGCTGCTAGGCATTCAGGCCCTGGGTGGCATCGTCCCAGCTTCATGAAATGGTATTTCAGGAAGATTTCCTGTAGAGGATTTGGAAACCAGGGATGGCATACTGATCGCAAGGAGACTTATTTGTGCAACATACTGAAGAGATTATAAAATGCCAGGTACATTCCAATGTTTGAAGAAATTTTGAGAGACAGCTTTCTAAACAAAACCCACTTATTACAGAAGACAACGAAAGGGTATAGAAAGGGGAAGTTTTTGGGTTTCTCTAAAAACCTTCGGACTATTGTGTACACAATTTCAAGGTAACATTACACTTTATTTCCACTTTTTCTCACATGGGACTCGAATTCATAACCTTCAGATAAAGCACCTCACGCTCTACCGACTGAGTTAAGACAATAAGACAACTCAGTGATTTGTGTACACGGGGACGCAGATGGCGGCGATTGAACATCCCTAGAGAAGGGTGCAAAAACCTTGTTCCCTGCTGCTCCAGAGCTAGGAATGGACCAGATCTCATCGGGCTAATCGATTTGCCCCGACAGCTAAGAGCAGAACCTCCAGAATCAGAAGCAGCGGGCTGCAAAATCGAGGGCAGGGAGCAGGGCGGTCTCGCAGCCCTCGCCTTGCAAGGGGGCGCATCCAGCCTGGCAGCCTCCCAGGGCCCAACCCCCACAGCCAGCGAGCTCCGATGCTCAGAGAGGCAGGAAACGGGGCCAGCCAGGGGGACTCGAGAGCGGCTGCACTTTCCTGTACCCCGCCGAGGAGAGCGGAGGAGCAGCGGCCCGTGGCCTGGCGAGTTTCCCCGGAGAGGAGCCGGATTCCGGTGCAGGGACGGAGCGAGGAGTCCGAGGTGCAGGAGGGGGGGGGGGAGCACGTGCGCCTGGCAGGATGAGGCCCCGAGTGGAGCCAGAGGCTGCAGGGCGCCCCCCAACCGGGCAGGAAGGGGAAGGGGCGCAGCTGAGGGGCAGGGCATCTGCAGGAGGGCACAGGGGCAAACATCTCTGGCTCAGGCTGGCACGGACCCTGCCGGAGACCCTGGGGAGCTGCTCCCTTCAGTCCTGAGCTCAAGGGGCAGAATGAGGGGTCCAAGGCAGCTGCTGCTTCGCGGTGGACGATGCATATAGTCGCTCACAGATCAGCGGCGTAGCTGGGGCTTTTGCCGCCCCTCTCCCTGTCCCTCAGCAGGGACCCCAGCCCATTTCGACGGTCCTCCCCACGGGGGAGAGGGAAGGGGAGGCAGGGGGGAAAGGAAGAGCAGTGCAGCGGGGGGGGGGGCTCTTCCTGTGCAGCCCCCTGACACCCTTTGCAGGCCACTACTCCTGCCCCCCCTCCTCTGCCAGTGCCATTGATAAACCTATCGCCCTCCTTCATGAATAGGAAGGATGGGATAGAAGTTCTGATCTGGAAATAAATGATCCCTCTGGCTGCTCTTTAAAGAGGATTTCTAAAGAGCAATCAGAAGGGTGTTTTTTCCTAGAACTCATTGCTAATTCAGCAGGGTCTTCTTGTGCTTTTATTTCTCCTCCAGCCCAGCACTGGGGTTGGAAGGTCTAAACATGCTGATTGTGTTTGCAAGACTTGTATGTATGCTGGATGGCATGTCTGGTGAGTGTGTGCAGCACCTCTGGCATGTGTGCATGTGACTTTATGGTCTGCATCTCTTTTCTGTGTGTACATGCATGTGCATACATTGGCCACAAAGCTCACTGGATTGTGGCCTCCAGAATCAATGCAGCTTTAAGCCCATAAATGTTTCGTTCCTCCTGCTCTATCAGAAAGAACAATCAAATCTGGGACTATCAGGAGGAGAGAACTCCTGGATCTACAGAGTTAATGTTCTCAACATCCTATGGACACAAACCAGTGAGATTTTCCTTTAATTGCTTTGAGATTTTTTCCCTTAAAAATATGAAGCAGTATATAAATGAAATGAGTAATAATCTGAACATGAATAGCTAATTTCGTATTCCCATTCCTCAGTCTTTTACAATACTGTCTTCAACTTTTAATTATCATTAATTCATGTCCATATGCCACACTTCTTAAGAATCCTCCTTTCCATTCTCAAAACTGTCACCCACTTCAACTCTCAGCTTTCAGCTGAAAACTCAGCCGTATTACTGGGGAAGGAGGAAGATAAAACCTTCAGACTCTCTCACTATATTTACACGCAGACACAAGAGGCCAGCTTTGATAGCTTGGGGAAAGGTCAGATGCGTTCTCCAGGGAATAAATCTATCAGCTATTTTATTAGCCATGACTGATCAACAAAACCTCCATGTGTTGGCACAGTGTACCTTGATTTGGGGCAGGCAAAAGAAGCCATTTCCTTGCTAAATGAACCTGATGGACATCATTGCCACAAGATGCGGTGCTGGTGGTGGCTAAGAGAGCTTTCAAAGGCGACCAGACTAATTCACAAATGAGGGCGATAGATTTATCAATGGCACTGGCAGAGGAAGGGGGGCAGGAGTAGTGGCTTGCAAAGGGTGTCAGGGGGTGGGAGGGGCACCTCCCTGCTGCACTTTCCCCAATGCCTCGCCTTCCCTCTCCGCTGGTGGGAGAGCGTGAGCTTGTGCCTGTGCTGCGGCCCCCGGAACCAACTCATCGCCCTTGCAGCCCCCGCAGGGAGGCAGAAGCAGGCGAGAGGGAAGGACAGTCAATGGGTTTTTAAAGTTGGTTTTAGTGATGTGAGGACTGGTAATAGAGGGGATGATCATCATGATATATTTTCTTTAAAAGATGAATTGTCCAAAAGCATGTTTCCAATAATAATAATAACAATAATAATAATAAAAACAGTCAATGGGTTTTTGAAGTTGGTTTTTGTGTTTTAACCTTCCCTGGTGTTTTGCCTTGTGCAGCAGAGTGATGTGAAAATGGAGGAACAGGGACGAAAGAGGAAAAGACTAGAGTCCAAAGGAAAAGAATCTGCTGCGGACCAACTTGGGACCATCAGGTATATTCTACCTCAGGAAGATTTACGTCAAATTAAGCAGGAGCCAGAGGAGCGGCGGCCGCAGCAGCACTGGGATGCCCAGTGGCAGGATTTCCTGAAGACGATGCAGCCCCCTCGTTCACGGTGGGAAACCCCACAGGCTCCCAGTCCTCCCCTCTCCGGAGATGGTGTCCTCCCAGCCTCCTTCAGGGGAGCTGCGGATGCCAGTCGGTGGCCCAGTGGGAGAGCAGGGGGGACAGACCAGACCCTGCCAGACCTAAGTGGGGAGGCACACGAGGAAGGAGGGGAGCAGATTTCCTCTGTGAAAGTGAAGAAGGAGATCCTGGACGAGGAGGAAGAAGACGCCAACATGAGGTCGGAGATGGAGCAGCAGAGCTTCCGGCGGTTCTCCTACGAGGACGACGAGGGGCCCCGAGAGGCCTGGCTTCGGCTCCAGGAACTTTGCTCCCGGTGGCTGAAGCCAGAGAGGCGCACCAAGGAAGAGATGGTGGAGCTGCTGGTCCTGGAGCAGTTCCTGACCATCCTGCCTGCGGAAATGCAGAGCTGGGTCAAGGGATGCAGGCTAGAGACCTGCGCCCAGGCGGCGGCCCTCACTGAGGACTTCCTGCTGCAGCTGCAAGACACCGAGGGGCTTCCGGGAAAGGGAAGTGCCCTCCTCTCACCTGGGTCTCCAGCATCTCATGGTCTCAGGTCCAGTTCCTCTAGACATGGAGGTTCTGTTTAGTTATGGTGGTGAATATTCCTCCTCCATGCATTTTCTCTCTCATCCACTTTAAAATGGCTTGTTAGAGCAAACTTTACTATACATGGGAGGTTGGCAATTATATCAGAGCAGGACCTACGTCGGAAGAGTTGTCCCTCCACCAACCCCCGTTTTCCTTGTCTAAATTTCCTGTTTTCCTCGTCTAAATTGCCTCCATTTCCAAAATGCTGTTTGCTCCTGTGGCGATCACACAGGGTCCCCGGACCTTTCACTGTCTATTGATCCCTGTGCCACCAATTTATTTCTCGCTGTCACCACCCATGCCCTACCTGGGACAATGCGGAGTCCAGTCAGGGTTAAATTGAAACATAAACTTCTGTTTATTTATTGCAGTTTAACAAGCGTATGGTTTCATAAACGGTATCTGTCAATTACATTCATGGGGTGCCTATCCAGACCCATAACTTCTGCTACCTGCTCTCACAAAACCACCTCTCAGATATTTACTTGTCTTCCTAGCTCCTAACTGTTCCTGACTCAGCTTACACTCAGCTACACTAACTCAACCTCCCCACAGACTCCATTCCAACTCACTCCCACTCCAACCAACCACCAACCACCCAACTCCCAACAAACTCCTCAATGAACTCCCCCTTTGCCCCTCCCTGAGCTCTTTTTATAGTCCCACTGACTCCACCCCCCTGGGTCCTGACTGGGCAAGCTGTTTAACTATTTCACCTCCAGCACTCTGCTGTGGTAAAAATCTTGGCACGTCTTGCAGCTTCAGCACTGCCATGTGTAGTGCAAATAGAATAACACTGGCCTATCTTGCCAGATTTATTATGATAATGGCCAGGTTCTAGCCGCCAACGCAGTCTCCTGGCCCCCACAACCAGAATGCATCACTCCAGGAAGGACTCCCACCCAACCTTTAGTGAGAAAGGGGAAAAGAAAAGGACTCTGCATGGGTAGCTTCACAAATTTACCAGCTGTGGTCCTGCAAGCCTAACAAACAGGGGAGCTGGGAATGTGCTGGTCCCGTATCTCCCTGCATCTGCCTCCTGACCTAATTGTCCCAGCTTACCTCATGATTGGGCCGGCCCTGAGGGTGAACTGTGATGAAACCAGGCAGTCTCTTATGAGCCATAGCTAACAAACTTTCAATTTTGCACAAACCAAGAAACTACAGCTGCCAATTTTAGAACAAGCCAGGATATTAAGCTAACTTCAAACTTTGGTTGGTTTAAGGGACCTAATCTCAAGTTTCTAATGTGCATACCATGCCAGCCTTAGGAAGGGAGGTGGGACAGGCAGGTGAAGGGAATTGCCAAAGGTGTTTGAAAATGGGTGGGGGCTCTTGGGAAGGGGGTGTCCAGTTGGGGCTTCTCCAGGGGCAGCAGAATGTCTTGGGCAGGAGAATCCCTGCAGGGGCTCTCAGACTCCCTTGGCTGCTTCTTCCCTCCCTCTCAGGAAGCTGCAACTTGCTCTGGATTCTGGGCTCCTCAGGAAGCTGAACCTGCAAACCTAGCTGAGACTGAACCTGCAACCCTGGCCAGGATGGAAGGAGGAAGATGGATGGTAGACGGGCAGTTTAGGGACAAAGGTGAGAGCTGTTTCTTAGTTCTGCTGGATCTCTCAGCAGCCTTTGATACAATCGACCATAACATCCTTCTGGACCGTCTAGAGGAGCTGGGAGCTGGGGGCACTGATATACAGTGGTTCCGCTCCTTCCTCCTGGGCCGTGGTGGGGGGGATGAGTGTTCAGACCCCTTGGCCCTCACTTGTGGGGTGCCTCAGGGTTCTGTCCCCTCCCCCATGCTTTTTAACATCTATATGAAGCCGCTGGGAGAGATCATCAGGGGGGTTGATCTGGGTGTCCATCAATATGCAGATGATACCCAGCTCTACCTCTCTTTCAAATCAGAACCAGGGAGGCGGTGAAGGTCCTGTGTGAGTGCTTGGAGGCGGTTGGAGGATGGATGGCTGCTAATGGATTGAGGTTGAATCCTGACAAGACAGAAGTACTGTTTTTGGGGGACATGGGGCAGGCTGGTGTGGAAGACTCCCTGGTCTTGAATGGGGTAATTGTGCCCCTGAAGGACCAGGTGCGCAGCCTGGGAGTCATTTTGGACTCACAGCTGTCCATGGAGGCGCAGGTCAATTCTGTGTCCAGGGCAGCTGTGTACCAGCTCCATCTGGTATGCAAGCTGAGACCCTACCTGCCCGCGGACTGTCTTGCCAGAGTGGTGCATGTTCTAGTTATCTCCCACTTGGACTACTGCAATGCGCTCTACGTGGGGCTACCTTTGAAGGTGACCCGGAAACTACAATTAATCCAGAATGCAGCAGCTAGACTGGTGACTGGGGGGTGGCCGCCGAGACCACATAACACCAGTCTTGAAAGACCTACATTGGCTCCCAGTACGTTTCCGAGCACAATTCAAAGTGTTGGTGTTGACCTTTAAAGCCCTAAATGGCCTCGGCCCAGTATACCTGAAGGAGCATCTCCACCCCCATCGTTCTGCCCGGACACTGAGGTCCAGCACCGAGGGCCTTCTGGCGGTTCCCTCATTGCGACAGGGAACCAGGCAGAGGGCCTTCTCGGTAGTGGCGTCCGCCCTGTGGAACGCCCTCCCATCAGATGTCAAAGAGATAAACAACTACCTGACATTCAGAAGACATCTTAAGGCAGCCCTGTTCAGGGAAGTTTTTAATGTGTGACGTTTTAGTGTATTATTGGTCTCTGTAGAAGCCGCCCAGAGTGGCTGGGGAAACCCAGCCTGATGGGCGGGGTACAAATAATAAATTAATTATTATTATTATTGTTATTATTATTATTATTTAAATGAGAGAAGGTGCAGATTGGGATTGACAGGTGTTCAGTTCCTTTCTTGTCTTTCTTGAAAGTCTAACAGGATTCTCTTTCCTCCCAGACTCCCAAACAGTTGAGGAAGATGAAAGTCAGAATTCTGTGGAGCCACCTGTGAATTCATTGGGAAGAACAAAGAAACAGCTTAAATGTATGGAGTGTGGGATGTGCTTTGATCACAGTGGAAGTCTGAGGATACATCAACAAGCTCACAAAGGAGAGAAACTATTTGAATGTATGGAGTGTGGAAAGAACTTCACAGTATTGCTCAGTATTGCTCAGAAAGTTCAACTGGCTGAAAGAGCTGCAGACACACTGCTGACCAGGGCTGGCTATAGGCAGCATAGGACTCCCATATTAGAACAGCTCCATCTGCCTAATAGTCTGTTTCTGGACACAATGTGCTAGTTATCACCTATAAGTCCTGCTTTGCCTAATACAAAAATGCCATGTCCTGTATTGATAGTTTTGTCCAGTATTTCAGATCTATCTCTCCCCCCCCCCTCTGCCAAATTAGGGATTCTCTTCAAGCACCTTTGTTTGAAAGGGTGTGTGAATGTGAAAAGTCCTGCATTTAAACTCTGGGTAGCCAAGCACAGACAGACAGACAGATTCATGAGTATCTGGGCGCGTGCATGCATGTGTGACAAATTCCAGGGGGCCATCCTGTGAGGCTGCAGGAGATTGGAATGGATTGTTTTGAAGTCACTTCAGTACCAGGTGGAAAAAGAAAACCAACTGTCCACCAACCCCCCTCCCTGCCCTGACCTGGATTCATCACCCTGTTCCTTGTTTTACTGCCCTGTATTTTGCCTCACACTTACTAAGCTAAATTTTGGCTTAGTTTTGGTTTAGCAAACCTGACTAACATGCCACTTTCAAACCTGAAATCTTTTTTCCTCCTGTTTTGGTTTGGAAGTTGGAGGAAAGTCAGATTCATGATCTGCGACTGCCCATTTATTTGGACTTTTCAGCACTGTGGCCGCTGTCACCCCTAAGCTCACGTCAGCAATGTCTAGGCAACAAAATGACCATGTATATACGCAGTGGACAAGCTTTACAGAATTCCTTCAAACCATAACAAGTACAAAATGAAATCTTTAGTCTCAAAGTCTCTGAAAATCTTTAAATGAAGTGAGGTACCAGACTTTGTACGATGAAAGACAAGCTGTGAAGCTTTGTGTATTCAGCAAATATGATGTCCAACACTGAACAGTAATTCCGGATATTGACTACTGTTTCGTATAATTCTTGTCAGTGTGGTGGGAGGATATAGAATTGCTTCATAAACTGAAAATAAAATTTTGCAGACGATGGCCTGCATGACATACCACTTTACCAAAATTATAAACTATAATACAAACAGTAATGAAAAAGAGTACATACCCCATCTTATTTCGAATTAATGTATGTAAATAAAAATACCAAATGCTATGGAACAGTGCTCATGTAATAATGTAGTCACTGCTACTAACAATATTTTTTTGAAAAACATATAAAGCCAACTCCAGGTGGTGCTAATAACAAGGAGGTTGAGTTTAAAGGTACAGTGCAAAGTAACAATACGAATACAAGGAGGTTGGGATAAAAGGAAACTCATTACACCCTGGTATGTTCCAGAATACATGCTAATGTTTGCGTATTATTCTGATGATTCTATCCGCATGAGAGGTGTATTCTAATGATCCTGTGACACGGTTTTGAGAACGTGAGGTGGTAGTGGGACTGAGAAGAAATGTTTGATCCTTTGTGAGGGATTTAATTTTGGATCCCTCCAAAATGGTAGAAGGATATCCCCTGGAACAAAGAGAATGAGCTAGGATATCTGCACTATTATAAAAATCGTGGTTAAAAGAGGAATTTCTTTTAAGGCGTAAAAATTGTCCGTAAGGTAAGTTATCCCGCAAAGAAGAATCTTTTTTCATTTCGAAATTCAAATGTGGTAATTGTGAAATATATTTTACAAAATAAATAAAATAAAGAATAAAAAAATATTTTTAAAAAGGGTGGCCCTGCGGGAAATGCCCCAAGCAGCGTCCCTCTGCCCAGCTTCTCTGGGTCTCACATACACCCCCCACACACCTGCCTGTGCAGGGAGGCAGACAGGCAACGAGGCCAGTGGCTGTGCTGAACCAAACCCGGACAGGTGCCAGCTGCTGCTTTTGCTGCCTTCGTGTGTTGTGATGGCGGCAGCAGCGGCAGAGGCAGCAACCCTCTCATTCCACTAACGAAAGGAACCTCTGAGGCCCGGCGCTGGGCTGGCTCCCTCCACCATCCCTCCACTTGGATACCCACTCACACAGAGAGAGAGAGACGCATGCAGCCTCCTGCCTTCCCTCACATTGCGCACTGCCCCCAACCTCAACTTGCCCTCTTGGTCAGGCTGCCGAGAGGGAGGGAAGGGTGGGCTTCTGCTGGGCCAGAGCCGCTTCTCTTCTGGGCGACACCCCCTCCAAACCCCCTCCCTTTTCTGTTCTGACTGGCTGTCTTGCAGGGCCCCCAGGTATCATATAAAGACCCTCT